ATAAGTTGTATTAAATTTAGAATGATATCATTTTTTACAGTAATTGGTACATATTTAATAAAATACTTGATTTTATTACACACCAAATTTTCTGAAAGAAGAAAATTGTTCTTTATTCGCAAAGATTTCAGGATTACTTGCAATGTAACTAAAAGCCCGAATATTGTTTTATGGTTTTATGTTTATTTTGAAATGATTTAAGATATTGATAAACTTCTAATATATATCTATAATATCCATTTAATATATTTTGACGATATATCAGTCAATAATAGTAGTTGCACTTAGTTGATATACTTTCGATGATATTTATAAATAACATTATAGCTTTATTAATCATTAATCATTATTTAATTAATATAATCCGCACTATTTTTCTAAATATTATTTTTTTCTGAATTCGATTATATATTATATTGCTGCGTACGTTTCGAATTGGGCGTAGTCGTTCACAATCGCTGGATCCCGATAAGCAATTTAATAGTTATATGTAGCTGTAAAATTCTACATCTCCTTAAGCCGCTGTTTAATAATAATCGCTTCAACCTCAAAAATAGAAAGTTATTATATACTCAAATAATTAGGTCAGCACTACTGTACGGATGTGTAACATACAGCAAAGCCTCAAATTCTGCCATAAAGCAATTACAGATAGCACAAAAGCTGGCTTTAAGAAGACTAATTAAGATTCCTTGGTATATTAGAACAACAGACATGCATAGAGATCTAAGATTCGATTCAGTGAAAAAATATTTCAAGGACATCTGATCTACGATCCGTCATCAGTTAGAAAATAAATAAATGATGTTTCCAGTATAGCTAAAGTTTAGTGTGGAGCTGGGATAAGCCCCCCAGCCACAAAAAAGTAAAAGTGCGCAATAGCACTAACTCAAATCACAACAACAACAATTTATTTCTAAACTGTCATTCTTAAAAAACTATTTCTACAATTACTTTGATTCCAAATTTATAACAATATTTATGAGTTCTTTACAATATTATTCTAGTGAAATATATCTTGTAGGTATGTTGTATAGACAACTCATTGGAGGTTGTTTTTTAAACTTGTGTCTGTACCAGATCTTTCAATTAATATTATGAACTCATTAAAAGTTGTTGCATCTTCAGGTACATGAATTAAGTATTACTTATACCTGAACCCCTGCAGTTTATATACGTACTAGTTTTTGAGAAGTTATTGCACTTAAATGTCCCCATTCAGGGAAAGATGAGTCAGATAAATACCTAATGATTAAATTGAGTATATCGTATCAGAAAGGTTAAAAAATAATCAAAATACTATTTCAAAAACAGATCTTAGCACTTGTAAAAGATAATGCAAAGTAAATAAGAAATTTTTGCAGTTGAATTTATACAAGCTTATATTAGATAAAAGATATTTGTAAAAATATAAAATTTTAAAGTCAGTGCTTTTGAAGTATAATACGAGCACTATAAGTGCGAAATTTAATCATTATACCAATACATACCACTTCTTTTTTTTTACAAAAGTAAGAGTTGGGTCAAATAACTTTATTGAATACTTGATTAAAATTCTTTGATTACTTTTCCGAGTACAGGAAACTACTATTTGGTAAAAAAATTATATCTTTCTGACAAAAGAGTAGTTTTATAAATGTATGAAAAAAAATATTTTGAAAACATATAATTGTGTAATAAAATAAATTTAATTCAATTTAAAACTTAAATATATTTAGTAAAAACTAAATAAAAATTTTTTTGTATGTAACTTATATTTAGTGTTAATTTTTATAAGTAATTAATGTTGCTTCATATTTTCAAAAAAAAAACATGTACAATTCTTTACTAATACAACATTGCATTTGAAAAATTATTTATATACTTCCATGGAAGAGCTTTCACAATATTTAAAAACTGTTATGTCCCTAGAAGAGTATTTAGATATCTAAAAATTCTTAGATATTTCTTAGATATTTGGTTTTTAAAAATATTTAGAAATTTTTCGATCAAATCTTACGATCCTAATTAACAATGAATATTAGCTATTAATGTTTTATTGGTACCATAATTCAGCTTCAAATCTCGTGACGTTACTATTTCAATAGTATTGGGATAAAAAAAAAATAATTTCTTTAATAAGGAAGTCCAGATCCTAACTATTGAGTTAACACATGTCATTACCTTCTCATTGCGCCTCAAAAGCGCCATTCTTTCATTATTCAGTGGAAGTTTTAGTGTTTTCAAAATTGCAATTGGAATTTAAGAAACATGTTCAGTTTATAAAAACATCGACAATATTAATAAGTAATGTATACACTTTATGTTAGGGGTTTTCACGACTTCGAGTAACGCGGTCGGTAATCGAGTGAAAGTGCAACCAGTTACGTTAACTCGTGAGTACACTTGATTGTGTTGATTTGTTTACGAAAGCTGTTAAAATCAGCTGTATTTTAATAAATTTGTAAAATATTGTGAAAACAAAAGAGATTCTGATATAAATATCAATACTATGCCGAAGTTAAGTGAAAAAAGTAAAATTGTTGAGATTTTGATCAAATATAGTCTAAACAGGATAAAATGGCTTAATATAAGATTTAATATAATATAAAAATTTTTAATGTCTAAAATTTGGCATAACTTGAGATTTTAAAAATATTTTATAACATGTTTTAAATAGTTTAGGAAATAAGTTATAAAGTAAGATAAGCTAAGTTCAGTCTTGAAAAACTAAAGACACTTGATGAATTATTAAATTAATCAAAAATTATATGAAAATACGCTTTGAGTGCAATTTCGATTATAATTTTTAAAATAAATGCGCCAATATTTAATATCAATCAAAAGCAAATTTTAAATACTATCCATACGAAATGTTTAGTATAAATATATTTTCGGAATAAAATTTTTTCGTATGTATAAGAAAGATGGCAACACTGAAAATATAGTAAACGTGCCACGTAAATATTGGTCAAAGCAAATGCTTGACTAACGTAGTAACGTTGCTACGCATTACTCGACTTTTTATTTTTGCTCCTTTGCACTTCTAATACGTTTACTCGGTTTCTGATTGCGTTACCTGTACTCGCGAATAATCCTATCTTTTATTTAACTTAATATTAAGACCGCATATGCTTTATACATTAATGCGTCTATATTCGCCATATTGAAATGATATACAAAACTTGTTCAACAAAACTAATTGAATATTAGTTTGATTTTAAAAATTATTTATTTCTGTTTAAAGAAATATAAAGGTACTGAAATGCAGAAATACTGAAATTTATAATATGAATTTAAAGCTACGCTCAGGTTTTTAAATATAAGAAGAACACAATTTATGGATCATAGGAGACTACCTTACACAATACTTTTGAATTTATCATTGAAGATTGCCATGAATGCTGAACACTAGTAATACCAGTTAAAATAAATTCTTTTACTCCGCTATCACTAGTAATCAGTCATATATAAAACCAAAAATAAATACTAAAACCATCAAAAGTCAAAGTGCTAGCTAACAACACCGATAATGCAATAAAAAAACCAATGATTAGGAAAAATTTCTATTATTATTATGTTGAGGCTAGTTGAGTCAGTGCACTTGAGCACTTCTGCTCTCTATAAACTGCGAGATTTCTTCATAACCCCTCTCTACTCCATCAAACTAAGTTATAATTGACCTCAGATCTGTATACCTCTTCGAGGAGCCACTAACCATTCTGAGATTCGACAACGCGGTGTTGATAAGCCTGTCACTTTTCGTAAATAATTTCAGGGTTCTATCCTTTATATATTTTTTGATCGGATCAATCTTGAGGTCTCTGAAGATGTCATTCTTCCTAATGTAATATTAATAAATATGCGAAAAGAATAGAACACATATAGAAGAATAACAAGAAATAACTGCTTGTTAAGAGCCCTAAAACTATCAAAAAAGATGATTTGCTAAACTTTATAAACATTTTAAGCTGTAAGTGTTTCAAAATCAAAAGATAATATTAATAAAGTAATACATGATGTTGCTAATGTAATGATATTCTCTAAACTTTGTTACTTTTTTAAATATCTATTAATATGTACTGATATTAATGTTTGAACATTGTGGAAATTATTTGAGGACAAACTTTCTGAATGTTGTTATATTTCCATTGCACTTTCTACTATTAGTGATTTACTTAGTAAGGAAAGAATAACATTACGTGAACTTTAGTTGATGTGATCGATGAAGATCTTATAATAAATGAACATAAAAAAATTTATGAATCAATGTTTAGTCATTTAAATGCTGATCAACGTGAACTTTACAGAGAGATTGAAGAATCCATATTTGGGTCCAGTGGTAAACTTGATACAAATATGTTCTTCATTGATGGGCCAGGGGTCATCGAAAATCATTTTAGTTTTTAGACTTTAGTTCAAAAGATTCTTCGTCATATTTTATTTAGTGAAATGTTGACAGGCGATAAAAAGCGAGAATTTGTATCCATTCTTCACATAACGCTGAATACAAGAAGTGACTCGGATATACAAATGTTCCAAGATAAACCAATTTCCGATACAATGACCCTTTGGTATGACGATCAACAAATTAGAAGGATACATTTTTAATACACATGGTTAATTGTGTATTGCCTTATATACGAGCTGTACAAACAAAAGAGGAAATAAATTTCAATGATAAGTCTATGAGATGATAATAAACAATATTATATTTGAAGAATAATTTTTAAAAACTTACTGTCTGCACAAACGATTTTAAAATTTATAATAAAAAAATGCAGATATAATTTAAAGTAGTTACTAAACTTCAATTTAAAGTAGGTATTGCCTAAATCTCTATCGACTAATCTTAATAGTCATCAAGACTCGCTAAAAACCAATATAACAAAACTTATTTGTAATTCATTTCAAGCATAATAAATCATATTCTTGGAATGAAAAGAGAAATTTAATCAATATTTCAGACTCTCAATTGTCCGTTCCTTTAATTACATATTGACTTCTTTTTCATTACTCACTTTTATTGCAGCTGTACTCTCTCTCTCTCTTCACACTTTCCCACCCAAATGCAACAGTGAAGAAATCATAAAAGGTGCATTTTCATGTAATTAACTTAATTTCTATTGTTAAATAATTTAATTAATTTTGTTCTTTTCTCGCTGTATTTTGACTGCGTTTTTCTCGCTGTAAACTTTATGGCTTTCACTCGTAAACACTTGCAGTTTTTGTTGTCAACTATCGCCTTATCGACATTGTATTCGTTGGAAATTGCGGTTTCATCGAGCTGCTAAAGAAGCGCTTGCAGGTGAGACGCCAGAAGGCAGCGCGAAAATCAACGCTGTAAAATGCATAAATAAAAGGGTTTATGGCGCTGTTAAACCAACCCAGCCATGTAAGTACTTTGGCTAACGTGTGACTTATTTTATGCTCGCCTAGAAATGGCGTAATTAAGTAGCAAATGAAGAACGGCAGCCAACAAGCAATGAAGCCACCCACAACAATGCTCAACGTTTGAGTGGTTTTGTTTTCTTTCTTCAGGGATGATATGCGATTTGAGAGTGACTTAGTGTGATAGTGATGATGATGAACTCGTGTTTGACGCAAAATGGTTGTGTCTTGCATGTTAGGTGATGTTGCAAGCTGACCAGTGCTGCCACTGGTGTGCACAGCAGCTGTGTTGATGTGTAAATGATGATGTCGTATACTATGTGGACGTGTTAATTGATGCGTTGCATGCAGCTGTGGCTGCTGTTGCTGTTGCTGTTGAGCGTTAAAGGACCAGTGTTGCTCGAGCCCAAGTGTATTGTTACCACCTGTGCCACTGCCAGCAATACCGCAACCACTTGTCATTGTAGTCATCGTTGAAGATGCCGTAGATGTGCGCTTCAAAGATGCCGGACGTGTTAATTCGTAACAACCATTTTTTGTATTCGCTGTGGTGAGTGCAAGCATCGAATGACAATGTGTGCCAGCGGTGCCGCCACTGTTCTCTGCATCTGACAACATTAGTTCGTGTAGTTCTTTGGCTATTGTTTGGTTAGAGAATGTTCGTGCAGCTTGCTGTTTCTTTGAACTGTGATCCTGTTCGGAGAGGTCATGTTCAATGTCATTGTCCACATCTGCCGAAGTGTAGCGTTTGAATTTCTGTAAAACAAGAATTACACAAGTTTTTTTATTGAGAACTTCTAGAGATTTTGCAATTTCTAAATTAAATTCTTCATGCATTATTAATATATTTTCTAAAATACATTATAAAACAATTTTTATTTTTCAAATGAACACATAGAAAAATTTGTTATTAATATCGTTTAAATTGCCTGCAGCACTTAAATTCTTTGTTGGCGTAAGTTGTGCAAACAAAGTGCTTTGTAATCACACTAAAGTTTTAAATTTCTTACAGAATTCAAAAAATTACCATTAAAATGAAGCTTAAGTGCCTTATACACTGTCTATTGACATCTATAATTTCTGTTGAAATTGCTTCACCCATAGTTTCTTGCACACTTGAAATTCATTGAATCTTAAGTAACGATTTTCTTTGTTTGTTGAAACTTAATACTTTGTAGTTCCACCCAAACTTCGGAGTACTGAAGGCGGCGAAACTTAGCCAACCTAATAACAGTTAAGGAACGTTTTAAGTAATAATTTCATTTACTTTACTGACAATATAGTTAAATTTGTAATAAGTTGATTTACATAAAATTTAAATTTATATGATAGTCTTAAGGTTGGCATTCGGTGTGAAGTGTATTGTTTAAAGTGTTTTTTGGTTTCACTTCAATGGAAACAAAGATTTTATGGTCTTTTTAATGCGAATGGAAAGAAATGTAGTTTAAAGAAAATTGGGTATTATGATATTTTCTACAACCGTGAGGTATGATGGGTAAACATAAAACCAGTTCTTAATATCACTTATTTATAAAAATCATTAAGTCAAACATTGAATTAAATTCATGTTGAATAATTGAAAATTAATTGAAAATTAACTTAATTGAAAATTAAGTACATACTTATTTTACAATAATTAGTACAATGAATCAAACTTTATTTAGTTAAGCTCAAGCGCACACATAAAAATAAGTGATAGTTGGAATGACGGCTGAGAGTACCAAAATATGCGAAATAAAAATGTGCTATCTAACAGTATTAAAAAGCGTACAATTAAGCAGAGAAATAGTTTCACAACACATTGTCTTATGAAGAATCTATTCAACATTTTTAATATTTAGACAACACAAAAATACGAAAGGAATCAATACCAGTGACAGACTGAAGTACTTATAATCATTAAGTGCCTAAATGGCCAATTATTTGCCAATTCAACATTTAAATTGTCATAAGTGATATATAACTTCACTATTTAAACAATAATTTATTCCTCATTTGAATGTTCAGTATTATGTGTATGTTATTATATGTATATGTAATTGGTTTAAGTCATACATTGAAAATGTTGTACTGCATATGGAATGGCTTACTAATTCATATCAGTGAGCTATACTTATATTTATTGATTAATATCAGTTAAAACGTAATTCACTTGATTTCACCCATCCATTCAGTTAGTGATTAAGTTTTCTGTAATCAACCAAATGCTGCAAACAAAAGCCAAAGTGCTACATAACAGCATCAAACATAAATGGAAGCATAAGATGGATACTTAAGTGCATTAAAAAAAACAATGAATCAAAGTTATTGTTCAAAGAAATGATATTTTAAAGAGCTGATACCTTGAAAAATACTTGCGTATTTCGAAAATCAGGTGCGTAATATTACCAATTAAATAGTTAACCAAAACTATTACACAGGGTAAAAAAACTGAAAATTGATATATGATTTAATATATGACTTAATTTCTGTAGCAAATAAAGTTAAAGGAATTAAAAATTGTCTTTAAGAAATTATTGCAAGCAGCCTTATACCTCCAGCTTAAGAAGTACCCGGATTTTGTAAATAGAACACAAATTTAAATTTTATTCCAAATTTATTTTATCTCCTTCAAAGTTTACTTTTTCTGAAGCGATACACATATGCCAACGCTTAACCCAATCTTCCATACACTTTTCGTAGGCACGTACAGGTATGGTTTTTAGTTCCTTCGGCGAATTCTCATTTACCACCACCACGAAGGGACAATTTGAGTTTCGGGAACAGGAAAAAGTCGCACAGCGCCAGATCTGGCGAATATGATGCTTGAGCGATGACAGTGGTGCCGTGTTTGGTCAAAAAATCGCGTACAACAAGAATTTTCCATAGCAAAAATCGCTAAATGCACTTAAGGTAGTCTCTCATTAACAACTGCTGTAAACAAACTAATTGACAGATGGCGCTCAAATTTGTACCATGTGTCAAGAATGGGTGTACCAATATAAAAAAAAAATTTTTGAAAAAGGTCTATTACTTAAAGAATAGTTAACAAACAACAAAATCAGAATACTTTTTGAGCAAAAGATAATATTTATTAGTACTAGTAAACGCAACCTCATTGTTAATTCACTATTATGACGGCATAAAAAATCATAGCTACGGGTCCAAAGCTTACATTGTCTCTCCATTTTATTATTGTAACACAGTTATCTCTGTTGAAAATAAAACTTTTTTTTGATATAGTTAGCTAGCCCATACAAACTGAGCCCAATTCAATCCCCTCTGCTGCCTTCCATATAACTAATCCAAGAAGTAATTTTTTGCAAATTTATCCCAATAAAGTATTATTTGTAAGCCAAAGAAAAAATTTGAAAAAGTTATTTACTTTTAAATTTAAAATCCATATAAATCAATTTTTTTCATACTAACTTTGAATACTCGCTAAAATATTTCACTTTAATTATTAAAATATTAAACAATTTTAAATCGAAAATTAAAATAAACGTGAAAAATTTTACTCATTTTCAATGTTGCGAAGTTTTGTTAAAAATTTTTAAACTTGAATTTAAATTTTTCTAAATTTAAAGGATAATTAAATCTTGAGGTAAAAAGCTAAACTTACTTCAAAGAGAAAAGCCTTATTGTATTGTGTATTTTCAAGTAGCGGTTGTTGTGTTTTTTATGCCTGAAAAAGATTCTGCTTTGACCGACCCATTTTCGTCTGAATCACAAAAGAAAATGTTCAAAATTAAAAAAAAGTGAATTCCAGCAGAAAATTAAAGCGAATTAACTGAGGCAAAAGGGTCAATCTATTTAAAAAACACATTTCATTATAAGATTGTATTATAAGAATGCATAAGTTGTCTATATAGTTCACAAAGTTGTGTTTTAAATGCATAGTATATAGGTAAACTAAGATTTAAGTTTAGGGTTAGGATCTACCTATGAGAAGTGAAAAACAGTTCTAATATTTTTTCAAATATTTTTATAAATGTTAAATTTTTTTACAATTTAAACATTTAAAAATTTTATATACAAAATATTTTAATTTTCAAACACAAAATAATTTTTAGTATATTTTTTTCATTCCGTGTTTTAGTGGAACGAAAAAGATTATCTACATTTAAAATTGCGAAATATATTTTTTATTTGAATTTTTAGGCCGTGTGCGAGTCCGAGTTAATTTAGGTGAAGTAAATTGAAATTTTCTAGGGATTTTTTGCACTGCAGTTATGTAAATATTTATTTATTTATTTATTGCACTTATTTATTATTTTTGGTTTAAAGTTTTCAAGTTTATTTATTTTTTTATTAAACATATTATAAAATTTTCACAATGGTAACACCTAATTTATCTAATTGTTATATGATTTACCATACTTGAACTTCTGGTAAATATCAACATTCGCTGTCACACCGACATAGTTTACTATTTCCCTCAATTTACCATCTATTTACTCGAACTCGCACAAGGCCTTAATACTTAATAATTTAAACATATATACATTTATTTATGTTGATCTTATTAATATTGAAAGTAATGTAATGTAGTTTTACCGATTTTGGTGAATTATTCAAAATAATAAAAAAAATTCTTGTAACGATCGATTCTCTTATATTATATTAATATAAGACAGTTTACTGATGTCAATATAAATATAAGAACTTTTTATCTTTTTTTAATTTTGACGTGCTTACCAAATATTAAATCATGACAGTCTTAAATCTCATTGTTATTGGTACAATGCATCGATACAACACCTCAATTTTAATTCGTTTCGTTTAATGCGGAAGTGATTACCTACATGTTTTTGTGAAACAGATTAACTTGTATTAATACGGCTATTTTCGATGCCATATTATACCAATAGGACAATCTATTGTAATCTCCCTTAATCGCCTCATAAGAACACAATGCAAATATTTAGATTGTGAGACTTTCACCGACAATATTTAAATAAAGCCAACCATCAATATTGAGAATATGCAATTGTAAGTAGAACACTAGACAGGATACTGTAACAGAACACTGTAGTATGTGGAAGATAAAAATATCATGTGATATTTTACATATATATTTCAATCACTTAATTTGAAGAAATTTTGACTTATGGGACAATAATCGACAGTATAGTATATTAAGAAAGTAAAATCCTTAAGTACATTTCACACTGAAAGAATTTTTGATTTAAACATTTAAAGCCGATAAAAATAAAGCAATTTGTTCTTTCTTCAAAGAAAACTAAGTCGTTTTAGTCTGTTGTTGTGTTTTTAATATGGATGTAAATGGATAGAAGTTTTCATATAACACTAAGTGTATCCATAAAAAACATCCTAATAGCTCCTGTGTCAACACTATCGTTGGTTCAGTCTTTCTCAAGTTTACACTTGAGGAATCTTTTTAACACTTAGCAACGCAGATAAAACACTTTTTGTTATATTTCCAGCATATAGGAACTTCTTATGAGTGAGAGACTATACTATTGTAGTGCAGTACAGATTATTTTGCTAGAAAAATTTCTTTTACTAAAAGCACGACATAATTTGGAGATGCTACCACCTTTGCAACTGTTTTGACTAATGCCCTTAAACGCAATATTAATTTCAATATTGTAGTTGTTATTTAGAGAAATATCGGTATTGTAGTTGTTTATTTATGTAGTCTGAATATTAAGACAAAATGCAATTATGAATGAGAAAGATTCAGCAATTTTCGATAACACTTTATTAGTGGTAATGCTTTTAGGACAATTTTAACTTATGTTTGAATCATGTTTTCTTGCGAACCAACTGGTGGTTCGCAACATGGTTAAAAATAGTCTGTGAATCGAATCTAACATGGATGGATACATAGCTTGTAGTTTGTCCTCTGAAACTTCACTTATTAGAAAATAAGCACAATCTATTTTATAGCCTATATAATGTACTTATGCACTTATGCAATGCATTATATACTAAGCTAGAGATGCATAAAGCATATTAAAATAATCATGCAGTTTATTATTTTTTAATTTTGAGGTCCCCACTTGAATCAAAACTATCATAATGATACTTGACCATAAAAGATTGGGAATTAAAGATATATACAAACCACAAAATGCAATATTTTATTTATTTGTATTGACTATCTGCACAAATAGAAGTCCTTATTGTCTTCTGTATTTTTTCATTGCTTATCTTTTTTTTATGTAGTATTAGTTTTTCTTTCTAAGGCTTATACAGTCAAATATTCTGCGTTATTGAGTCGATTTTTTTTTGTTTGGTTTTTTTGTAATGTTATACTAAAAACTATAATGACTATAGAGTCCGTATGTTATTTTGCATTATGTATTTAACTTTTAATTATTTCATGCGGTTAATCCAGCTTTGAGGGGTATTCGCTTATCATTACGAATACTTTTAGGTACTTAAAGTTATTGATAACAATGTAATACCTGCCAAATTAATTTGTTAGTTAAATAGTGTTTTAAAAATTATAAGACAGAAATTGATTATTTTACTACGTTATATTTCATTAAATATATATAAATTGTTTTCTGATCGATTTAAATCTATCTATTATTGTTGACGTCATTTATAAGTAACAATTATATTTATTGTCTTAACAACCTAGTTTTAATTGTTTACATTATAAATAATTTATTTACAATTTTTAAAGTAATTTTAAACGATACTTCTCTATTGTTTCATTTATATAAATTATATTTTGTAGTATTCATTATACAATATTTACACTTCTTTAATAAATTACCTTGGGAATTATTTCTCATAACATATGAGTAAACAACATGTAAAATAATAAATTTTAAAATTTTTATCTTTTTGATTAATATCCTTGACAAGGATGTTGACTGAAATTCTTTGTCGTAATTCATTATTCCCATGAAGAAACATTCTTGCATAAATTATTATATTATGTGTATTTCTCGTTTCAATAATTGACCAATTATTTTCGTAGTATTATTTTTCGTTGTTGGGTATTTAAATGCAGTAGAAATGTAATAAAAGTAGGAGTAGAAATGTAATAAAATATTCATGCACTGTGATTTATATAAATAGTACAAATTTATATGAATACGCATATAAATCCTAAAGGACATTTGGAGCAAATTACCATGACATTGCGTGTGCTTCCAGGCAACTACACTTACGCAAAATTAACCAAATCAACACCTCGGCATGAGTTCAAGCCTGAGGTAAAAATATTTATGAGATGATTTTGTATGAGACTCACAGTAAGTCATGAATAAAAGAAGGGCATTAGTCAAAATGCGATATAAATCTTCGATTTCATGCCACATTGCGTTACAAAAGTCACCTCAGAGATTTGCAACCATAACACAATTACCGTAGAAAATTATGTTTAAATAGTAAAAAATAACTGATCATAATGATATAAATTTTCTCAACTCAACAAACACATAATAAATATGTGACTTATGTTTATAGATAAATTGTTTTCTATACATTTGATATTTGCTGTTTATATTGAAGGCATTTCAATTCAATACAATTTGTTTTCATTCAAGTTTATTTGATTCAGCCGCATTCAATTCAATACTCAATATCATTCAATTTAATTGAATTAAATAGATTTGTGAGCTACTAGGACTCAGTGAGATTTGTACTTACTTTGTTGTGTACACTTATATCGGTCATATTATCGTGCCGTGACGCAATCACACAGGAAATCCTTGCATAAACGTATATCATTACGGCCATGGGTATAAAGAATGAGCCCATGGCGGAGAAGATAACGTATCCTTCGTTCTGATTGTAACGGCATTCGCTCAAGTCACGTCGTCCGGGTTCGTACCTGCGTGAAATAAAAGAGCAAAAAAGCAATTCAAAATGAAGTTAATGAAGTGAAATGAAAAATCAAAATATTTTATATCAATTCAGTAATCCTGAATAACTTCGGATTTCAGTTAAATCCTTTAGCTGTGATTTCTGCGGTTTATTACATAAATACCACAAAGTAAATTGTTTTGTATTAAATATTGAAATTGATGCGGAAAACTAATTTTTGTGATGTAGTATGAGTTAACTTATGTTTAGAAATTGCTCAACAAAGTGGGATAAAGGATTATTGATTTTCATTTTATTTTTCAGGAAGATTTAGCAAACACTAAAGTATTACAAAAAATTTTTCGTGGTATAATTTACGAAAAGCCATTTAATCAAAATTGTTTTAATATTATATATGGAGGTGTACCATATATACATTCACAATATAATACTTTTGAATATAGAGTATATTTGTTTGATTACTATATTTCACTTGTATTTATTTGTCTTATTTATAGTGCAAGCGTTTGACTTGCTTCTTGCAATATTTTTTCCTTAAAGTTTCTGTAATTTCATAGTAAATTTATATTCAGACCATTTTGCAAGGAACACATGGAAATTCGAAAAACTTTTTCTTTTGTATACAATGATATATACAATATTTATTGTGCATCCAATACAATTTATTATTCAATTTGATTTACAACTTTTGTTCAATATTTTAAGGTGGCAGGAAAATACATAAAGAAACGTAATAACGTTTCAATAATAACAATATTTCTTGGAATTTCATTTTTTCAATTTACTAATATTTTTTTGACTTGCATTATTAACAATAAATTGAATGAACTTAATTAAAATACGAAAACTAAAATAAGAAATGAAGTTATTCGCTTCTATCAAAACTGATTCATTCGTAACATTGAACACATTGAATACGTAACATTGAATTGTTGTAATAGAATACATTCTATTACAAATACATTCTATTACAAAAGTGGCTAATAAATAGTAAAAACAGCAAGAAAATTGCATTGAAAAAGTTTATGTCTGAACGCAGATCGAAAATCATAAGAACACGGCTTTCAATGTCAACATAAAAGAGACTCTCCTCGAAGTAATGCGAAAACAATCCCGAGAGAGAATAAGTCTTTTCGAAGAGGTGGTATATTACATATTAATGTTAGAGAGCCGGGGACACCATTCCGATGACGGTCGGTCTGACGGCGCATAAAGGATACCACATCCAAAAAAGGTGACATTCCACAAAAAAAAAAAAAAGAAAAATAACAAAAGTGGCGGAAATCTATCACTCACAAACGTCGCTTAATGAGATTGATTATTCCTTTTTTCTAAATCCCAGCGGAATTTAAGCAGCATTTATACTTGTTTTTGTCTGAAAGTGATAATCCCTGAAATTGTGATTATCATAAATCAATTTTAACTATTTTAAATGATTGATGAAATCATGATAACTCAACCACTTAAAATTCCCTAAACACATAATAGAACGAGTCAATTTTGACTCCACATTCATAAAACCTGAAGTCTGGTGGTAAGACAATAATTTTGTGATAAGTTGGGTATGTTAACTAGTCAACAAGTTTCAGAATACCACCATCCAACTGAGATGAAACCAAAAAGGAACGTCAAAGCCAATCAAAACTGAAAAAGGTGTTGACAGTTTTTTTAATAACAGTGGTGTCGTTTACTCAGAATTTCTACCGGAAGATTAGAGAGTATATAAAGAATTTTACTTAAACATTATGCAGTGTTTGACAGATAAAACTTGTTGTTTATTCTAACAAAACAAAATACTTTTTGTTTTTAAACGATTATATACATTCATAAGAAATTTGAACTTACCATCCCAGCATTGGTGGACAGGTTATAGCTAAAGCTAATAACCATACGATGAGTATCATTATAAGAGCCAATCGCTTAGACCGTCGTTTACGCGAATAGGTCAAAGGTTGTGTTACTGCTAGATATCTGAAAGAAACATTTATAGCTATAGTTTTAGAGTAATATTGAAATATGTATTAATTACTAAGCATCAATACTTTGTGTATGATGATTATAACTATTTAGTTAGATAGTGTTTGGGTACAGATATGAATATTGCAAAGTTGTATAATCAAAATGGAATATTATGAAATATATTTTATAAGAACAGTACAAATTCATTACAAACAATTTCTTTATATATTATAAGATTTGGGACTATAAATCAAAAAGTTTAAAGTAATTATTTATAAGGATCGCCATTTTTACACACTTTACGTGCATTTCCAATATATCAGTAAAATGCTATTCAGGCCATAAAATACAGGACAGTAAAACATATTTTCGGGTACAATAAATTATTAAGCCATTTGAATTTCTTTGACATATCTTGAACATATAGCACAAGAGTCGTATCGTTGTAAAACAAATCTTTAATTAAAAAAACTACAAGAAAAATGGGTCTCACCTCATATAATAAAAGTTAAGAACTATGAACATCCTTTTCAGAGGAATTTTAAGTATCAGAAAGTTGGGACACATTCCAACAAAACTTATCTCAAACTGCAAGACCTCTTTCTAAATATCATTATAACCTTTGCCAATATTTCTAAGTGGTCTCAACATTTGAGTTTTTAATTATACGGTAATACAATGAGTCTATAGGCCTAAGTGGACCCCTTGGGATTACTGGTATTATCTATACTAACTTAAGTGCCTAAATAATCATTTATTTATTATTTTTAATAAATTAACTTATTATTAATTTAATATTAATTAAATATTATTTTTATTTAAGAGATTTAAATTATTGTTAGTAGCCTTAAAATTCATAATTTTAACCAACTTATATAAAATAATATGAAAATTGAAACGAATCACAACAAACTTTTACAATTTATATCTGCTAGTTCTTCCAATTCTGTGGTCTGAATATTTTTTTATTCTAGATATGATTTCAGAAAGTTGATTTTTAATGATAATAAACACCGTCTGTAATGTGTATTTTTTCACAATTATTTGAGTAGTCTTAATAAGAATTCCTAATTTATTGTTCTAGTCAGAAATGTACTAGTAACTTAAATAGTCAGTTTAATGTTTTATTTATAAATAGCATAAATTTACTATATGTAACTAATAATGGGCCGGTATACTCAACTGCTTCTGAAATAGTATATTTCGTTGGTTAGATAATTCTTTTTTAGTAGTTAGAAGTGTATTTAGAAAACGCACAGATAGAAAAATGCTATGAATCTCACTGTGTTAAGTATACATATAGTATATAATATCATTCACGCCTAAGTGCCGTCCCTTAAACCAATAATCCGCAACCGATGGTCCGAAATGGTTAAAAATCAAAATGGTTCGTGAATCAAATTTAACATGTGTGGATACATAGCTTGTAGTTTCTCCACTGAGATCTCATTTATAAAAAAACACTCACAAAAAATTTCCAATTAATTGGAAATATATCTATTTTATAGCCTATTAGGCATATTAAAATAATCATTATTAAGCTAATAAACAATTATCGTTTTTTTGTTTTTGTTTTTTTGCCTAATATGCAAATATGAACTTATAAAATCAATATATTGTTGATAAATATGTATAATAAATACATATACAGTTCGACTTCCATAACTCGAACTTCTATAACTTGAATTTTCTATAACTCGAATCAAAAACAGTGCTCCAAGGTTTTAGAGAGCATATTACATACAATTTTGCTTCCATAACTCGAATTTCTCTATAACTCCAACAAAAATTTATTCTGTGCCGATAGCAATATGGGAAAGTGCATTCGATTAGTCGAATTTTTGTCTTAAGTATAAATCCATTTTGATGTTAGGGGAAGTCCCTTTTTCAGAACCAAATGTTTGATTTTTTTCTTTTATATATTGCTTCTTTGTGTAAATGTCAGTCGCTGACAGCGTAGTAAAGTAAATAAAAGTAAAGTAAATAAAATAACTTCCAATGCTGCTCTTAACGATTATATTGAGCTTGACAATGAAATTTGTACATTAAGTTTTCCTACAGATGACGATATTATTGAGCTCCAAATACATAATTCTAAATTAGTGGATGCAATTCTAAGCGCAACGAAAACTGATGATGAGGTGAATGTAATTGTTCATCAGCCTTTCAAGAATGAAGTAGAAGACTCAATCAAAATTCTGATTTTTTATTTGCAAACGAATGATACTACAACTGATGATCTTTATAAGAGTTTGAATAAAATGGAATCTCTTTTTACTGAAAATAAGAAAAAATTTAAAGTCCCAAACCTTAATTTCTGAATATTTTACTTCACTATAACTTCTGTGCTTTATTTGATTGCAAATAAATAAATATCTTAAACTGAGATTCTAGTTTCTTTGAAAAATAAAAAAAAAATAAAAAAATTCTTTAACTCGAAGCCTCCATAAGTTGAACCTTTGCTTTACAAAATGGTACTTATAGTAATGGAAGTAAGACTGTTTATATGTGTAATAAATTTATAAAATTTTTAAGTAAAAGATTCAGAACTACAGTGCAACAATTACATTTACATACAAACTTATAAAATTAAAGAGTATTTTCAAAAACCAATACTTGTATTCCTGGAAACATCTCTGGATCTATGAGCCGTTCAAAAAACTGAATTAATTACAGATAAAAGTTTTGTTATTGAATAGTTTGTTCAATTCAAAAACTTCAATTAGTAAAATACTTTTCTTTCATCATTATTGACTTTGAAAATTTGAATTTAACTTAAATATTAATTTTTATAAACTTTGATTTATGTTCACTTAAGAAATATAACGAAAGGTCATACAAAAAAAAAAATATTTTGAATTTCAAAAAAAAATATTTCAATTTAAAAAATAGAAAATATCTCTTAGTAATATTTTATACTTAAGAACAAAAGTTTTCATATATCTCAGATTTACAGCAAATTTTATACATTTTCTATTAATTTCAATATTTTCTCCTGGCACATTTCTACAATTTTTACAATTTTCCGCTGTGCTATAAACGTGTAGCAATGCACCTTTTCATGTTCATAAATGTTTATGTGAAGGGGATTTGAAACTTACCTATCCACGCTTATGGCGCAAAGGCTCAAAATTGATGCTGTACACAGGAGCACATCCAAGGATATCCAAATGTCGCACAACACCCAACCCAACTGCCAGGAGCCTGTAAATGAGATTAATGAACACCTTTTAGCTGCTAAAAGTTGTAAACAAGTTAAATTAAGATAAAAGCAGAAAGGTTGAAATAAAACGTGAACGAACTAAAAATTTGTATTCGTTAAGGCATTTTTACAAAATAATTTTGACAAATGTTATAAATATTTGAACAGTTTAAATAGTTTTTAAAATATTACAAATTTACGCTGCCTCATTTAAATTGGAGCAGAAAAAGATTAGTGGAGCAAAAAAATTAAAATTATTTTTTTTACAGCAATTTTATTTTGCTGGAAATGTTCCTGTCCTATTTCGCGTTATTCTTCTCCATTTCTATATTAAGCTGTAACAAAATGTTAAATAGAAAAATTCGTTTGACTCTGTAGAAAAAAAAAAAAATTACGCCGTTGGACCAAATTAAGATTGAGTCAGTAGCAAAAACTGGCTCTAAGTCACTTTTAATTAGAAGGTAGAAGAATCCTTCTGTTTACTTTGACTTTGACTTTCCATTCGGCTACAATGTTTACTACAGTGTTTTATATTCAGACTACAGACAGTGCACTAAAAAGCAGAGAGATAGATACACAGTTCATCCTGTCTTGTTGGAACATTTTACTTTGTGTGAAAGCATAAAATGAGTGGCAAATTTATAACTTTTTTATGATTTTTAGTCTTTGCTGTGGAAGGTAAATGTTGCAAAAACGTTAGCAAAACTTTTATGTTCAATTTTATACAATTTTTTCTAAAACAAAATATCATTTGTTAGAGATTTATTGATGACAGCCATGGCAGGCACCTCACTGAAGTGTACCATTCTGGTACACTCGTATACGAATATTCAAATTTCTACTTTAATATTGTGAAGTAAATTTGATTTTATGCTGGCCTACTCTCAAATGGCATTTAGTACTGCTTACAGTAAACCCAAAACAGCAATGCTCCACAGAAAAAAGGCAAAGGTTTTTAAAGTGATTGACTTTTAACCGCAAATTAAATGAACAATTTTGCATGGCAAACATTTATGGCTTTTCAATTTCTTAACAAAATTATTATGAAATTACAAGTACGGCAAAACGTTATGGTTTGTAAATCTTAAGGGTAAATTTGTAAATGGAGCGATAGCAAATGGTTTCCTGAAATTTGATGCTTTCTTGTAAAAGGTGCTGTCGAACAGAATACGTAGTGCCAGTATATCGAAATCGTAGATGAAATATGCATTTGTTGTGGTTAAGTAATCAGTTGTGCTATTTAAATTTAATCAAATTTGGCTTAAGCAGAAAACCGAAGAAGTTAATTTAAAACAAATTTTAATAAAATAACGAAATTTAGCAGAAGTGCACATTTTTTTCGTATTTTCTATTTTAAAATTTAATTTAAAATTTGCGCACTGTTTCAAGCTCAAAATCACTTTTAATCAGGAAGATTTATGCGTACACAAATTTCAATGGCTTAAATGAGTTGTTAACATATTTGCATGCTTGAGTCTATTTGTTAATATTCTCTCCTTAATTTTCAAAACGCTATACGACTTATGGCACTGTAATTAAACAGTCGAGATGTGTGTGATTTCAACAAAACAATTAAGCACGACACATTCATTATAATGGTGTATGACTAACAGTCAACGAACAAAGTAATGGTACAAGTAACAGACAATTCACTTACTCGTATGAGCGTATGAATTCACTTTCTACTGAATATGTTATATAAAACTAATAGTTTTGTAGTTCCAAAAGTAAACATAAAGAAAACATAAAATATTTTTATTTTGATATATTCGTTGCAATTAAATGGTAAATACAAAATATGTTCCAAGTCGCTCATGGGACATCTTACAGTACTTCGTTGGTAATAATTCAACCAATATCTCAAAGACGTTTGTTTACAAATTCACTGCATAGCTACAGACAAACAAATTCCGATCGTTGTACACACAATTTGTATTTAAGGAAAATTAATTTGAGTTAAAATATATAACATTTATGTATTTTTTCTATTTTATTATAATTAATTACAAAATATAAAAACGTATAATTAAGATAGGAAAAGTAAGCGCTAGCTGCTAGAACCCTCGGCTCGATATATAACATTTTTCATAGTAACGAAACAAATAGTGCTAGAAAAGCCCAATTAATTCTTATATACAGAGTTAGGCGATTGAAGTATTATCAACTACAAACAGGTATATATGTCGAACTGATATAGCCAATCCCGTGAAATTCATAAAAATGACAGCAGAACAAAGTTATTCGAAGTGGAATTCAAACGTAAAAGTTGATTGCTTTCTATTTGGCTGGAAAATCACAACTAGCTACTGTTTGCTTGTTATGTTGAGCTTTTTTCAAGTTAGTGCATCTGGACACTTTAACTCTTTAATATCTGGGGCGTTTCTGTAGAATTCCACCCATCTCACTGACTAAGTTGTGTATTCCTCATAAGCTTCGTGATTATTCATTGACTGATCTAAGATCTGCGTACCGCCCCTTGTGGTTAGTGATTACTCTGAGATTAGATAGTGCTAAGTAGGGCAGCCTGTCGGTTTTCGCTTATAGCTTCACGGCTCTGTCCCTTATGTATTTTTTGACCGGATCTATTCTAAGGTCTCTTAGCATGTCATTCGTGCGGATATACCATGGCACTTTGAAGAGTTTTCAGAGAGCCTGACTTTGAGCAATTTGAAACTTCTGGATAGTAGAGTCGGCAGCTTTGTTATACGCGACACACCCATAAAGTAGTGCTGGCGATTCCTAGCTATTTAATGCTGTCCTCCCAATGTTGCCTATGTTTACGAGTTATAAAGAGGGCTTTAATTTTCTAATTATTTATTTTTATTTTTCATTTTTGAAAGAACTCCAGATGAGATTAACATGCTTCTGCAGAGTGTTGGTTACATTTCTGGCAAGTTTATCGGAATATAACAAGCGCGTGTCATCTGCGTATAATAATAGGGTCTTAGCATTGCGATATCAGACCTGAAGATGTTGTTCAACAAGGGGGAGAGATCCTTGAGGAAAACCAGCTTTTTTCATCACACTGACGAGATGGTAGTGTTGATTCTTAGACGTACCATAAATCGTTATAATAGTACAGGCAGCGTCGCCAAATATGGTGGTGGACGAAAAAAAACAGTAACGTTGATTGTTTAATCAAAATGTCAAAAGGTCAAAAGGTGACCACATTCAAGTGAATGGATTCTGAAATTTCGATTAATTTTACAAGTTTTTGTGATTTGAATCAATAAAAAATAATTTCATAAAAAAAAGATATGTTCGTTTGAATAGGCAACAATTCAATTACTTATCCCTGTATTACCATAAAAATCTAGCTATTATCATAAATAAGTAGCTGAAAGAAAGATTTAAATTAATTCACTTTAATTTTTGTGTTAATTTTATAATATGAATCATCTAACAACCGCTAAACGTGGAAAAATTGTGCTCGAACTACTATGAAGTTCTTGTTAGGATAAGGGATATGTCAAGAAGAATATTCAAATCTTTATTATAGGTAGTAAACGTCCACAAGTAACTAAAAAGTGACCTCCAGCATCCAGTAAAAATTATTGTATAGTGTAGAGGTGTGATAAAGCTATACTTTTTTAAAAGTGTTGAAGATGTGACGTAATACCTTAATGCTCGTTACCAGTTATTTTTTCCTAGCTGTTTTTCATAAGGTTATGAAAAAAATCGTGTTTATACAAACAGTCCCCAAACTCTTGAATCTTTAAAAATAAGCATCTTTCAGTTACAGGATATTTATTACCAATTATGGACTAACAAGACATCAAAAATTAATTTTAAAGAGTCCAGAACTAAAACGTATTTGAATGATGTATTGCTCGCCTAATAGCAATATCTAAGTAATATATTGAAATAAAAATTTGCTTCAATTTTCATTTGCAAATGTATTTCATTTAGGTTTACTCTTGGAACCATAAAATTGAAAAATAACCATTAAAATTGAAAAATCCTCATAAATATTCAAAATTTATCACGCACTGAAGATATTTTAAGTTTCAAATTAAAAAAATTTAACCAATTTGTCAAGTGTTGAGTTCTCAATACAATACAATGAAAATTACAAGTAATTTGGTATTTGAATCTTCACAGTTGGTTTTAATTTTCTTTTTTAATAAACAATAACTTAAGAAATAAATAACCATCATTAAACCAACAAACAGTGAGAAGCATAGACGTAGACATATTTTTAGTTGCCATTTTGCTGTTACCGAGCTTGTTACTCCACTTCGAGAATTCTGTTATTGTGTTGTAATGATATATTTATGTATATCGATTTTAGGTATCGATAAATTTTGTGACTGAATATTTTAAAATAACGCTGAAGCTTATGGGAGCATACTTTGAGAGCAAGCCAAGCTTAATTGGCTTTATAAGCCATTTATTTTTTAATAACTGCGACAAATGGAGCACTTAATCATGATATAAGAGTACATACTCGTATAGGAGGTGTTAAGTAGAATTATAACTTTATGCACTCGACCACCAAAATACGAAAAAAACTTTAAGTTTTGCTTTTTTAGTTTATTCGCAGTTTAGCAGATTGGTAAACCTTAATTCAATCTGGATTTACTCTGGATTTGTTCATCGAATATTTTTAGGTTAAGATTTATGTAGTAGAGTAAGTAGACATTTATATTTTTTATAAATACGTATCTCGAATCAGAGCACACTCTATCTGTCATGTCATATAAAACAGCTGTTAATTTCAAGGGTAATCTTGCTACTTTAACTTAATATTTAGAGTGTAATAAATAAATGTCGAGTGTACATTTTACTCCAGATTTATCAATCGAAAATAAAGTCGCAATAAAAATGTTTTAAAAAAGCACCTCGATTGAAAAAATTAACCCAGAATTACCAATCGAAACGCTGTAAGAGTAAGTTATTATAAGTTATAAGAATATGTATAAGAAGATAGTTTATTCTGAAATATGTGAGAAAAAATTTTAAAACTTCTAATTCTCACTAGTAATATGAAAGTGCACAATTT